GCACCCTCCAGGGAGCATGGTCACACTGCGGTCTCTTCTCCATTTCCCCCTCCTCTCGGGATCTGGGTACACACGCCAGGTGTGTTTCTCACACTGCCCACCTGGGACTCGAATCCCAAGTCGGCCATGTAGAATCCGGCTTCCTGAACTCGGCCCAGAGCCAGCCTCGGTGTCTTATCAGCTCAGACAGTGACGCTGGTCAAGTGACTTAGCCTGCCAGTTCCCTCACGTCGGGGCAGCGTCTGCTTCACGGAGTCAAGCCTTCCAGGAAGCGCTCAGACGGTGTCAGCCCAGGCCTCCCTCCACGCGTTCGCCACCCCAGACCTCCTGCCCACCGCTGAGCTCCGGGAGGGCGGACTCTGGGTCCTCTTACTTTGAATGACAGTCACCCCGTTGATGTGACCACTGCGGGCAGTGTCAGCGATGACTCGTGAGCTGCCTGGGGAACAAGCTTCGGGTGCCGGAGGTGACCGGACAGCGCCTGGCGGTGGGTCCCTGCAGCCTGTGGTGGTTTCCTTGGCTTGCAGCCCCAGAGCTGGAGGGTGGCCCAGAGGCTGGCCGGGGACTCTCCCAAGAGTATAGGTCTTTACTGAAGCCCCCACAGCTACTAGGTGCAGACAGAAAGCCATGGTGGGGAGGAGGGGAAGGGAAGCCAATGAATGGCACAAAGGCGTGGAGGGCCAGCTGGGGCATGGTGGTTAGAGCACGGATCCCACATGGCTGACTGTGGGGTTCGCATCCCGGACCTACTGGCTTGAAAAACACTCTGGGTGCGTGTGCATGGCCAACACCCCTAGAGGAGGGACTGGCATATGGCGTAATGGTTGTCACTGGAGTGCGGTTTAGTCCTGAACACAGCGGCTTAAAACTCACACTGGGACATGTGTGTGTGCCCCAAATCCTGAAAGAATGGAGAAGGGATTGCGGTGTGGCCATCCCCCCAGGGAGTGACTTCTCGCTTTCTGTCTCTCTGTCTCTCTCTGTTTCTGGTGAGTGCATGTGTCCTATAGCAAAAATCTCCCCTAAAAAGAAAAAAAAAAAGGAAAATCCCAAGAGAATAAAGTAGTGGGGACTGTGGCCCTCCCCCAGGAGTGCTTTCTTTCCTTTTTATCTGGAGAGATTTTTTTAGAGAGTTTTTTTTGCTATAGGGCGCTTGCGCTCGCTAGACAGACAGAAAGAGACAAAGAGAGAGAAAGCGAGAAATCATCCCCAAGGGGGATGGCCATGCTGCAATCCCTCCTCCATTCTCCTCTTTAGATTTTGGGCACACATGCACACGCGCCTGGCATGTTTCAAGAGTCTGGGTCTGGGACTCACTGAAGCGTGGTCAGCCACGTGGGAGTCCAGTCCGCCACCTGCTGGCCCCTAAGGATGCTTTCTTACTTTCCCTCTCCCATTAGCACATCTGCCCTGGGGGGTGGGGGAGCGAGAGCGGAAGGGACAATGGGCAGTGTGTCTGTCTGGCTACCACCTTAGTAGGGCAAGGACAGCCTTCGCCATGCCTCAGCCAAAGCTCCGTGTGCCTTGCAGATACCCTAGCAAGGAGTCCTTAGGGCCCCCAGGTGCCGTGCCGGGGGAGGGCTGCATCCCACCCCCACCGATCTGCAGTCCTCCAGCAGGAGACACCCGGCCCAGCCAGGCCAGTCTATTCCTGCTTGTAGCTTGGCGGACCTAGCGTGAAAGCCGGCCCTGGCACGTTGTCAGTGCAGCGACCACGGTCTCCCTCAAACCACTGCTGGCAGGTCTGGGATTTGAACTGCACAGACAGCCATGTGGGACCAAGTGCCTTAACCTCCATGCCAGCAGGTGGCAGCTGCTGCTGGGGGGGAGGCTTG